CCCCAAAACCCCAAAACCCCTCAATAATGATAATAAATATAAAATGCAATCGTATTAATAATATTAAAATCAAAATCTAATGAAAAAATTTGAAAGCAAATATTCAGTAGCTGAGCCATCCAACAGTGAATTCATTAAACTATAGCAATATTATGTGGGTGAGATAAAAAGACTTCAATAGCAGGCAGACTAATCAGCTCTTAGCATGAGTTAATAAAAAAATCTAATGAAGCAAAAAGATTTGGAACTTAATTTTTACAAGTCGAAAGTTGGGGAATAAAGAGATACGATAAAAACCTACGAGGTTTACCTGAATGAATTATAAATTGAAAACAGTAAACTCAGGGTGAAGATTGAGATGTACGAGAAGCAATATAAACTTTTAGTTTAAACACTGGGTGAACCATTAGTAGCCTTAGACGACTCTTTGAGTTAGGTGAATAGTTTAAATGTGAATAATTCCTCAGTGATAAATAGCTCAATGAATGAAGCTGGACAGAAAAATCTTAGTGAGATTTAAGAGAAGTTTACTGAAGAGTTCCAAACTCATTCTTCTTGCTAATATTAAAACTTGGATGAGGACAATGAGACTCCGCTCAACACTGGTAATGAGATTACGATATAAGATTAATATGAGGATGTTTACAAAGCAGTTTAAAAAATCAATCTTCCCCAAAACTAAGCAAGGATGGCATTTTCAGTTGCTAAAAAGGAGCCATTTTAAGATATTACAAATATAATGAGTGATTCCAAGGAATCTTAAGCATAGTTTGCTACTCCTTTAAAACTCTCCTAAGTCGAAAATATTTCTCCTTCAGATAGAAGAAAAATTTACAAGATTGATAATAATAGAGCCAATATGAGATCTTTAAGCTAAAAATTAAGGGATTAAAAGCAAATGAAAACGAACTTTTACTTTAGGCTTGATGTTAGATAAGTCAGGCAGAAATTCTAAAGCCAGTACACTCATCATGACTAAGAAAATTAATTTACCCTATTAGAGTTAAACAGAGATAAGAAGATGAGTTCTATGAAAAATAATAACTTGGTACATTTGATTAGATAGACTGAAGGAAATTTTACTGAAAGGATTAAACCCTCTTCAGGCTATTCTTTTATCTATGATACCCAGGAAGATTAATCTGTAGCCATTATTGATTAATGAAATAATTATTGATAATATATCTTAAAATCATCATATATTATAGATATTAATTGATGGGGTTTTGGGGTTTTGGGGTTTTGGGG